CATTAAGGTTATGCACGAATGTGCACAAATTAAACATTAATTGTAGTGCAATATAATAAAACATAATAAAGTATTTTTATTTTAATTATTATTATTATTATATTTCATTGCTTTTGAGAAATTTATAAAATTATTTACAATTTATTTTTAACATTATATTTAATTTTTAACAAAAAAATCAGTTTTGTTTTTATTTGATTTCATTTTACATTAAAATCTTTGCTCTTTATTTTATACAATAAAAAATTTTATTTATACAATTTCTCTCCAAATATAAAAATGCTTCTTGAAGAAATTTCGAGTGGCATGAAGTTCCCTAAGTGGAAGTTGGCGAAAGTGGAAGTTCCCAAAAAACATGGAGGCAAAAGGTGGGGCCAGGGTAGCATGGGGAGGAAATGGGCAGCATCGACATCGATTTTTGCATTGAAATTAAAAATCGCATTTATATTGAGCGTGTATTGAACTCCCTAAAGTAGAAACTCCCTAGAAAGCTACTCAATTTCCACTTTTGGGAGCTTCCACTCTTGGAGATTTATGATTTATATTTTTTGAGCTATTCAAAATTTCATTGAGTGGAAGTTCCCTAGTGGAAACTCCCTAGTGGCTTCAAGTATTGTCCAAGCTGGAAGGCAGGTGGCGCTGTCGAATCTGCGTGAAGGCACCTCTTCACCGTGGAGAAAAATGTATAATAATATATTGCCTTTCAAATAAAAACAACTTAAATTTGTTTTTTAAGTATGAAAATGCAAAGAGGGAAAAAAATATTTTGAAAAATAAAACATAATTTGTTTTAATTATTTCATACTAAAGAGGGTAAGCGATGATATTTCAAATTTAATTATTACACTTCAGAGAATTAAAGAATTTTTTTATTTGGCTCAAGAAGAATATTTCAAAGTGTGGTGGCTAAAGAATTATTTTTCCGACAAGGTAACATTTTTAGGTGCCTGACTGAGATTTTGATCAAATTTGGCATGTCAATTAGTATCCTGAAGTAGAGGCCAGAATTAAATTATTAGCTGCTGAAATGCATTTTTCACCCCCAAAAGAAGGTTTAAAGTTTGCCATTAAAATAGTCTGGCATCAGTTCTACACCAGATTTGAACCAAGGGTCAATTTCTGTCATGTAGAATGGTGCCATTTTCATTTATGTTTCGTTTTCATGAATATATAGAAATGAATTTTTAATTTTTTTTTCGCACATAAGTTTTTCAAAATTTGGAATTAGTTCAGACCTGGTTCAAAAATAGTACGTAACTAGTGCAGAACCGGTTCAGCTGTTCTGGCATCAGTTCTACACCAGTTTTAAACCAGATCTAAACCTGATTTGAACCGAGGGTTAATTTCTGTCATATATAATGGTGCCATTTTCATTTATGTTTCGTTTTCTTGAATATATAGAAATGAATTTTTAATTTTTTTTTAATTTTTTTCGTACTAAAGTTTTTCAAAATTTGGAATTAGTTCAGACCTGAGATCTAATTCTGTAAGCTTTTTCGTTTCTATTTCCATTTCTATATTCATTTTCCATTTGCTTACCCATTCTATTTCGTCGCCTTTTTCGATTACGACTTCTATTTCGCAGCCTATCCATTTCCATTTCTATTTCGTCGTCAATTTTAAAAGTTGAGCCATATTTATATAAATATAAAATAAATATATATATTTATTTATATTTAATTTAATTATTGCATATGCACTTACATTAATTTTCAAATGATTTTTAATATACTCAAGTCAATAAAATGTATAAAAAATTATTTGAATAAGGCGTTTAGTCAAAAGTACCTCAGTGTGGGAGCAAATTGTGGTATCACATTGTGGAAGCAAATTGTGGTACCACAGTGTGGGCGCAAATTGTGGTACCACAGTGTGGGCGAAAATTGTGGTACCACAGTGTGGGCGCAAATTGTGGTACCACAGTGTGGGAGCAAATTGTGGTACCACAGTGTGGGCGCAAATTGTGGTACCACAGTGTGGGCGCAAATTGTGGTACCACAGTGTGGGAGCAAATTGTGGTACCACAGTGTGGGCGAAAATTGTGGTACCACAGTGTGGGCGAAAATTGTGGTACCACAGTGTGGGCGCAAATTGTGGTACCACAGTGTGGGAGCAAATTGTGGTACCACAGTGTGGGCGCAAATTGTGGTACCACAGTGTGGGAGCAAATTGTGGTACCAAACAGCGCACGCGATGAATTAAATAATATAAAATACATGGTTGCTAATTTGCTAAAAAAAAATATTATAATTGTATTTGAATTCAACCAATTTTTAAGAAATTGATTTAATTAACTTTGTGAAAGGAAAAATTATCTTGATCCCCCCTAATTATGAGCCATAAAAAGATTTGATTAAAAGGGGGTGCGAGAGACATATAAGAATTATAAATATTCATTTTTCATTAAAAATTAAATAATTCATATAATTTTATCAACCTGAATATTAAAAACCATTCGAAGAGCACTGTAAGCATAGGGAATAATTAAATTAAATATAAATAAATAAATGGCTCAACTATTAAAATTGACGACGAAATAGAAATGGAAATGGATAGGCTGCGAAATAGAAGTCGTAATCGAAAAAGGCGACGAAATAGAATGGGTGAGCAAATGGAAAATGAAATAGAAATGGAAATGGAACGATTCTCTCTTACAGAATTAGACCCCTGGTTCAAAAATAGTACGTAACTAGTGCAGAACCGGTTCAGCTGTTCTGGCATCAGTTCTACACCAGTTTTGAACCAGATCTAAACCTGATTTGAACCAAGGGTTAATTTCTGTCATATATAATGGTGCCATTTTCATTTATGTTTCGTTTTCATGAATATATAGAAATGAATTTTTAATTTTTTTTTCGCACATAAGTTTTTCAAAATTTGGAATTAGTTCAGACCTGGTTCAAAAATAGTACGTAACTAGTGCAGAACCGGTTCAGCTGTTCTGGCATCAGTTCTACACCAGTTTTGAACCAAATCCAAACCAGATTTGAACCAAGGGTCAATTTCTGTCATATAGAATGGTGCCATTTTCATTTATGTTTCGTTTTCATGAATATATAGAAATAAATTTTTAATTTTTTTAAAAGTTTTGCTTAAAAAAGTTTTTTTAAATTTGGAATTAGTTCAGACCTGGTTCAAAAATAGTACGTCACTAGTGCGCCACCTGCCTTCCAGCTTGGACAATACTTGAAGTCACTAGGAAGTTTCCACTTGGGAACTTCCACTCAATGAAATTTTAAACAGCTCAAAAAAAAAATAATCATAAATCTCGAAGAGTAGAAACTAGAAACTCCCAAAAGTGGAAATTGAGTAGCTTTCTAGGGAGTTTCTACTTTAGGGAGTTCAATACACGCTCAATATAAATGCGATTTTTAATTTCAATGCAAAAATTCGCAATTTCGACCTGCATTTACACTTATGTGGAACTCCATTCACTCATTGGCTTCAGAGTCTTTCAAATCATGTGTCGATGCTGCCCATTTCCTCCCCATGCTACCCTGGCCCCACCTTTTGCCTCCATGTTTTTTGGGAACTTCCACTTTCGCCAACTTCCACTTAGGGAACTTCTTCCCCACCAGAAATTTCACATGTGATGGTACTTTTTGAAATTTTTTGTAAATTGAACTTTAATCATTGACAAATTAAAGAAACCATGAATCAAACCAAGTAGAGTATAATTATTGCCTTTGTGATAGATCAATAAACGCAATTTGCAACTATAATATAATAAAAATCCTTGGAAACCATTAAATATATAAAAGTTATAATCAAAATCCAACAAAATCTAAAACTTTTTATGCAATCAAAGCCAATTAAATATATTCCACATGTTTTTTTAAGGTGGGCATCCATTTAAAATTGATTGAGGAAACTATATTATTATACTAAATTAAAGACGGCAAACAATAATACATACATTCATTGAAGTAATCCAAATTAAAGAGTTTTCTCATTGAAGATTATAGTTTAATCATAGTCATCCTTCTAATGTGCACTAAATCATACACAAATGCAACAAAATACAAGCAAATTACTTTTTGAGAAAATCCTATTATTATCCCATAAAAAATGTAAGTCCTCAAACAGAATGAATAATTCTCTTATTTCTCAATTAACTCCACAATGTTGTGTTGATATTTGATATTTGTTGTATATATTTATTTAGCTCATGCTCAATAAAAATTTAGCACAAAATTTGAGCAACACACCAATGAAGCAACTATAACACTGTTGTTTATTTTTCGCAGATGAGCAATGCACTCGTCATCGCAGGCAACTAATCGGAGCGCCTCATTGACCTGCAAGCATTCACAATTTCGACTCTTGTTGCATTGTTTCTGACGAGTCAGACTCAATTTGCGCCTCGCTTTCGTTATTCAAGTTACTAAATCTACGAAATAATAAATGTGCACAGCGTGGCCATTGTAATAAGGAGTGTGTGATTGTAATAGAGAGTATTACACGTGGGGATGCCTGCGATGCGTGCCGTGCTGAATACTTAAATATTTTCAGCCCACGCCGCGTCGAGGAGCAATGGAAAGCCCGGTAGCGCCGACCTTGACTTGTTTCTCTCATTCATTCGAATTTGCATTTTTTACTCCTTTTTTTTACTTTTTTTTTGTAAAACAACAAAAAGATCAGAATAAATCTAAAATCTTACAGCTAGTGCATCAAATTTCTAAGCTTTTACATGAAAATATCATCTGCAACTTCAACTCTCCTGCAAAATATGAATAATATTATTTAAAATATGTAATTTAAGCGATTACTTCAGAAAGATTTTATATTTTAGAGGTAAATGATGCATCCTTTTTTTTAGTTATTCAGATAAGTGTTTTGAAATTTCTATAAAATGAATGTAAATTAGTTTTCAAATTAAATCGACTTTCATTAAATACTCCTCAATATTCTACTTTTGCTTTTTCTATGATTTTTTATATATTTATAGTGACTTAGTAGCTTTCATTTCATTATTGAAAACATTCCATTTTCGTGGTAAATAACTTATTTATTTGTCACAACCCAACATGAAATGGCGATTTAAGAGCTGAACGCATCATTACAATAATTACACATTTTTACAAAACATTTTGTACAGCAAACATAAATTAACCGCGACGTTCTACTATTTACACGTGCGCATTCAATGTGCTAGGAATTGTGCAAATTTCCAGGCGCTTAGTACGGTCCACCCTGGTTGGGTTCGAGGTACTCGATGGTTGGGCGGTAGCCGTTCTTGTCGGCCACGTACTTGACGACCTGAGTGCGGCCGTCGGGCAGCAGGACGCGATACTCGCCGGTCACGACGTCATCCTCGCGACTCTCCATGTGTCCGAACTCCTGGCCGGAAGCGGCGTCGTTCACTTCGTATTTGAACTCGTAGCTGGCCGGTTCCTGGAACGAATTTTTTTCGCAAGTTGAAAAATAATATGCAATTTCAAAAGAGGTTGTTGTTTTCATTATCAGCGGAGCGAGAGATGGAAACGAGTTTCATCAACGAAAGACGCGCGCGCTCGCGCATCTCGGCGTGATTTGTGTTTCTGACCCATTTAATTTCAGCGTGACGCAAAGAGTCGTGCGTTAAAATCACTTGCACTCGTTCTGATGGCCACATTGTTGTCTTTTATGGCGCTGCGTCGCTTTTAATACTGATTTGAGTTGGTAATGCGAGATGAGATGGGACGAATCAAATTTACAAAAGCAGGCCAAACATGGCCTTCTGCGATAACTACTTACGTTAGCAGTTTAACTAATTTTGTTACACATTAGAATCTCATCAACGTATTAGTTTCCCCAGATTTAAAAAAAAAAATAATTAATAAATAAAAACATTATTATAAAATAGTTAAAAATTTCTTAAAATTTGCTTTTACTTCTGAGCCTTTTGTTACTACTTTGCTATACAAACTCGAAAAAAAAATATTATAAGCCAAGCATGAGATAACATATTAAAATTAATTAATATAAATGTATAATTACAGTTATTGATGAAATCGAAACGACGTTCATATTTTATGAAAATTTCAAAGTTTTCAATTCCCTTATTTGAAAACACGCATTTTAATTTCTAGTTTTGAGAATTCAGATCAAAAAAAAATGGATTGTTAAAATTTCATTATAAAATTGCCACAAATATCTATTCTAATTTTCATCAAATTACCATTACTACAGTACATTGTGTTTTATTGTCAAATTATATTTTAATTTAATTCTACATTCACTCTAATTTAATATTTAAATTTTTCAAAACATGAGCAAACCTGAATTTGATTTTTTTTTAAATTAGAATTTCATATTTTAATTTTTTTTTTAAATCATAACTATTTCGTTCCGTCTAATTATTAGTGAAGTTTTACTTACAGACATGTCATCGTTGTTGCGGGCACCAGGGTAGGGTCCATCAGCAGACTCTTCGGTGCGACGGCTGTAGCTGTCTGAGTAGGGGGCGGGGGTGGGAGCGTTGTATCTGGGTGCGGGGGTGGCGCGAGACTGGTAGTTGTTGGACTTGATGGGGGTGCCAAACTGGACTCTAGGGGCAGCATTCTGAGTTTTGGGAGCCCCGTACTTCTGGGACGGAGGACCATATTTCTGCGACGGAGGGCCATATTTCTGCGAGGGTGGCAGGTACTGTTTGGAGGGGTTGGGGGCGCCGTACTGCGTCGAGGGAGGTCCGTACTTGGCAGAAGGGGCCGGGGCTCCGTATTCAGTAGAAGGAGGGCCGTAGGACCTGGAAGGGGCACCGTAGGAGGTGGAAGGTGCGTCATAGGAGTAGTCGTCCTGGCGAGGGGCGCCGTACTCGGAGGAAGGGGTGCGCGCCTGCGAGTAGCCCTGATGATGGTCCGAGTGGTGGTGGTCGTACGAAGAGGTGCGGGCGCCAAATTCCTGGAACCTGGCGTCGGTCAGGCCTCTACTAGGGGCGCCATAGTGTGACGAGGGTGCGTTGGAGGACGGAGGGCGCATCCCATAATTATCTAGAGGGGCTTCGGCAAGTACAGATGCGCACAAGGCGGATACGATGACAAAGATCTGAAAATTATAATATTTTACTGTAGATTATGATATTTATTTATACTATTTGTTTAAGGAGCATTAGATAATAATTAGATACTAAATTCAAATTTAAAATATATAACAATTAAATCATTTAATCTTTTCGCATTACACAAAATTTCCAGAAGCACAAAAATTAATCTTACAATTTTTAAAAATTTATGCATGAAACTTGTTTATATAATCATTTTACATAATAATATTTGTATAAAAATATCTTAAATTTGATTTATGTAACATGAAGTCTTAATTTTTCATAATAAATTTTTTTAAATAAAATATAATGGAAAAAAACAATATTAAAAAAAAATTATTTAATTTTATTATAATTTTATAAAGTAAATATTAAAATTAATTTTAAAAAATTTTAAAAATAGAATAAAAAATGTTTTTGTTATCTCTGTGGTGCCCTTGTGCCTTTCTAAAACAAAATTACAAAAAATAAAGGCGATAATTTACTAAAAACCAAGAAACCACAAACAAAAGTAATGATGTCTAAAATTTTAAACGTAATGTTTGAAAATTTAATAAAGCAATTAAAAATAACTGAAATGCAATTTGAGCGAGTCGTGTGGTTGATTTTCGTAATCTCCGTTTTGGGCACTCACCTTCATGATGGCGCCGATCGAGATGTGAATTAGCAAGAGCAGATGATGCGAGTGATGATGCTGCAGTCGACACGCGTCCTTTAAATACTGGAGCAGAAGCCAGGTGAACCTGCCATGGGCTAGAGATCCTAATGGATCAGTTAGTGGGGAGTAAAGTGTAGCAGAGCATCTTTTTCACGGCAGCTCATCTCTCCCCCTAACTATGTTATGCGTTCGCTTTATTAACTAACACACGTGAATGATTAACCCACTCGGCTTTGCCTTTTGTGGCGTTTGCACGTAGCGCCGATTTTGTAATTACTGCGTGGCCGGGGATGGGTGGTCCATGCGGCGCATCACTCAAAAACAACACACCGCTTTTCATCTTTGGCATGTCATGAATATGATGTTTCTGTATATTATGCATCTCGTTACTCCTCATTGTTTCGCATAGTGGTGCTTGTTTGTCTGCTCCAGTCTAGCGCTTTCCTGCTTGCGAAATTGAAAACCGCGAGTTCATCACGGCACACTGTTTAATTTTGCTTGATTAATTGAAATAGTTCGTGCTCTGATGTTTCTTTTTACGATTGTGTACACATATGAAAAAAAATTGTCCAAATTTCTAAATTAATTGCGCATTTAATCCGTTAATTTGGCGTGAATTGCAGTTGAGAAGAAAATTTAATGATACGCCCAGGATTTATTCAGACAAGCGTTAAATTATTTGAAATATGTTTTTCAAACAATATTTTGCACTTTCTTTTGCAACTTCAGTGTAAAAATATCCAGCTCAACAGCATTACACTTGCAAATTTTGGTGAGCGGAATAAAATGCTATGCTATTGAATTTGAAGCAAAAACATAAAAATAAGGAGTTCATTTTAAATAATAACAGTAAAAATTAGAAGAACTGATCTTATAATATTAGATTATTATAAAATTAATAATATTTAGTTGTAAATTAAAATTCTTATTTTAATATTATAAATTCCCTTAAAGACTTTTTCTGATAAAAAGTTAAACATTATTATTTTTATTATTATTATCTATTTATTTATTTTTTCTTTCTATTAATGACAGGGACTTTTTTTTTAAATATGAGATAATGAGTAATATCATTTAACTCAGCAAATACTGCACAAAATATTTTAATTTTTAATATATCATTCCAGGTAATTCCACTATTAAAATGCAATTTTCTTAGTAAACTAAAATAGCACGTAATGGAAGTGTGTCCTAAAGTTGAATTAATTAGATTATTAACTATTGCCGTTAATGTTTTTAAATTATTCCTCTCGGTGGATGGAAAAAAATTGAAATTTGAAAATCAGAAATAAGGTTTTACAAATAGCAGATGTCTGCTAAAGCGGCCGAGTTAAATCCACAGTATCGGAAAAAAAACAATTACAATTCACAATTAATAATGGAATTTGCGATAATTTGAGTTTTTTTAACTATTAATTAATTAGTTTATAAGAGAAAAATTTTGGCAATTATTTCTAGTGACATGATTTAAGATAAAACTACTTAAGATGTTTCAAAAGGTGCGAACCAAATTAGCCTCTCAACCTTGCGCTAATAGCTTTTGATCGCTTTAAGGTCTCATTACTCTGCTGTCGCCCGCTGCAGACGCGTCATACCGACAATGAGTGGGTGCGGAGTTTCGGCACAGATTGAGCCTTGGGAAATAATAAACTATTTCTTGCGAGCTAAAGACGTGCCCGAGCTATTAAACCATTATACAAAATGCACTCACTGCTCTCTGAAAGAAATAAAATTGCTCCACAAAGTAATATCACTATAATACTTGAAGTGGCAAATCGTCAGAAGAGGATGCGCTTCTTTGTTCAAACTATTTTGAGAATTCATATCTCTCATTTAGTCGTGATTGTGCAATACTCCGTTTTTGTGATTGGGATTTTATGGCAAATTGTGTATGTTTGCGCAAAATTGGGCTTTACTGAGCAAAAAGATGATGCAAAAAGGTCATGTATCTTTTTTTCGGTAATTTTGGTATTTTTGTGTATTATATAACCTATATACGCTATTTTAAATAATTTGTTTTGAAAATTTATAGTGTTTTTTACTAATTGTCAGACTAGCATTGATTGCTTTATAGCTCGTATTAAATTTGCATGAAATTTGAATGCGCAATTGAGCAAAAAAATCCTTTAGTTCTCACTAACATTCCAAATGCATTCAGTAAATAATACTACAGAATATACTAGCTAACACCAATTATTTGAATATTTTCAACGTTCATTTGAATCTAATTTGCACAAGTCATCCAAGCTTGAACTTAATACTACACAGCTAGTTATCTCACGCAGAATAATAGCAAAGTTACACAAGGCACGCAAATTTTATTGCCTGCTCATCTATTTTTATATGGTGAGCACAAAATTATCTCCTATTATTCACCTTTGATTGGCGGAATGTCAGTAGGAAAATAATGTGAATTCAATAAATTATTTTGGTTGGCACCACTGCAACCAAGCAGACGCGTTTTTAGTTACGGCGTAAACAAACCAAGTGTTTTGGTAAAAATCAACCCTTTCTTGAATGGAGAATCCACAATGGATACCAAGTGGACCTTCAAAGGACGGCGGCCAACAATTTCCGCCCATGAAGTCCTTCGCCACGGCGGCCAGGACACCACCATTGGCCTTCAAACTTGACCGGCCACCCCCCGGCCATGTGCAGCCGCCATTTCCGGGAACAACCGGCGTGGAAGCCCGTCTGGCGTTCCTTGAAAGGACTGTCCTGCATTACCAGATCATGCTGGACAGAGCGGTGGAGCGAGAGCGTGGGGCGGAGGCCAGGGCTGCGAGTACTGCGGAGATGCTGAAGCAGGTTCTCGAGCGTCTCACTCAACTGGAGAGACACAACACTCACCAAGGGCAGAGACAGCAATGGCGCCATCAGCAGCCCCGACAGAGGCGAGTTTACCCTGAGCCCACCAGGCTCCCCAATACCCCCATAACAAATGCTTACCTGGACAGGACGGATGATCTTGAGAAAGGAAACGTCCAAAACTCCGACAGCCAACTGGAGTTTATCGAGAAAGAGGCCAATCTGTTCTCCGCCGAGGAAGGAATCCTCGTGCACGCCATCTCGGCGGACATTCGCTGCGAGCTCGGAGTGGCAGGACAGTGCACCCAACGCTTCGGCAAACCAACAGCCCCTGCCGAAGGTGCTAAGGTCGGTGACATTATCGTCCAGGACGCTGGCGAGCTGGGTGTCCTTCTCAATCTCGTCACTAAAGAGAAGGCCTGGCACAAGCTGAAGAAGCGACCCGAAGTTTTCATCCCCACGGTCGAGTCCGCACTCGACAATTTCGTTGAGTATGTCGTGGCGAACAAAATCACCAAATTTGCCATGCCACGAATTTGTGCCGGCCTCGATGGTATGGCGTGGGTTTGGGTCAAGGACGCAATTCAGAAACGGTTCACAAACCTACCGCACCTGTCCGAAGGTGAAAAAATCCAAGCCCACGTCTACCACTTGCCTCCGAGAGCTCGCCCCGCTGGGGTCGGCCGGAGAGCGGACTCTCGAGTCGTCCCACCCGAGGCGCCCATCATGCAAGTCTCGCAGAGTGCTGCCTCGGAGGAGAGAGTCGAAGACGATGGCCTGGAGAGTGTGACGGGTGAAAAGCAGCCGAAGGAATGCCGCAGGGAACCAGTCACCACGGGGGTCAAGGACAGAAGGGAGAGTCTCCGTTCCTCCAAGCAAGAGAAGAAAAAGTACAAAAAGAATAAATAATGCTCCCCCGGGAAAAACAATGTAAGAGAAAATATTTCACTATTATCATGGAACGTTGAAGGTTTAAAAAATATCGCTAATTTAATTGAAGAAAATTATTTTCAAAAATTTGACCTAATTATATTAACTGAAACATTCCTAACAGATAGTTTTTCCATTCCGGGATTTTATAACAAAAACATCTTCGGTACACAAAAACAGCTTGGACGGCCAATGCGCGGTGTGTCAGTCTATTACAATGCCAAACTCGGAGAGCTAGAAACCTTTAAAATGTTAAAAAATAGTCTTGTGCTAAATTTTGCTGGACTGTCAATTGTGGCGTCCTATTTTGAACCAAAGATGACTGCTGATCAGTTTTGGGACGAACTGATCGATATTCAAAATAATATTAAATACATGGATCAAGTAATTATGGCTGGCGATTATAATGCAAGAATGGATAAAAAGTGTTTTAAAGGTGAATTAATTTTGGATTTCTTAGACTTCAATAATTTTTATCTTGCAAACCCACATCCGTATCAGAGCACCTATGTGTCGGAGAAAGGCAAAAGTGTGATTGACCTTGTTCTTTTGGGCCCCAAGATTAAGATCAAAAAATTTAACATTTCTGACTCATTTTTGAGAAAACACAGACGAATTGAAACTACCTTGCAGATAACAAATAAAATTATTGCCAAAAATCAAAGTTTTTGTGATAAAACCTATATCAAAGTAGACTTGTTAAACTCTAAAGTAACCCAGTATAAATATCAGTTACAAGAAAACATTAAGAGCGAGGACTTTGAACATTTTTATCAAAACATTTTGAGTTTAGTTAACGAGTCAAAGGTGCAAGTTAAGAGCAGTCAAAGAGACAGCCAGGAGTGGTTTGACTCAGAGTGTTTTCTTCTCAAACAAGAATTAAACTTTTTGAAAAATTTCATTGATTCGGTTGAATTTTTAAACGGATGTGTCTATGAGCAAGTCGAAATCTTGGAAACCTACTCAATGGCCAAGAGAAAGTATAGAAATCTATGCAAAATGAAAAAAGCAGGGCACCAAGAAAGATCTGATTGTAAAATTATTAAAGAGGCAGAAGAAAAGTGCCATAAATTTCTTAAATTTAAAAACAAAAGTTTAAAACAAGTGCCGAATGATATTGAGCTAAAGGCGTGGGAGAAACACTTTGACTCCCTACTTAACGAACGCAAGTTCAGAGCCGATCAGTCACTTGGGTTTAAAGAATTTCTCGTAAATTATGAAAGTCCTGAACCACTAAAAAATATTATGCAAGGCGAAGTGGAACTGGTAATTAAAAGTCTAAAGAATCGAAAAGCGCCT